CGATACGAGATCTATGATATATACAAGAGTGAATAATAGAGCATTATTCTATTACCTCACTTGCTTGTCCGAAAAATGTTGTAGTGTGCGCATCGCATAGTAGGCTGGTTGAACAGGACTTATAATGAGATCGTGAAAGAGTCCAATGGTGTTTTGTCAATGTTATGTTTTCACGCTTGCGTCTCGATTCAAAATTTGTTCCAATTAGCAAACGCTTGCATGATGCAAGTCTTATAACCTGTCAGTCAAGATGGAACTCCATTTCAATGACTCTCTATAGGACTGTAGGACCAAAGACAATAATAAGCTATCTATCAGAACTTTCTAAGAACACGGCCTGTTTTGCAAGACTCCATTTTTTCCAGGACCAGTATGAACCCTGAACGTGCACACGTTCTAAACCGTGTGAAGAAGAATTGCACACTAACCCGGTTTGGGTCCCAGCTGCTCCCCGCTCTGCCTGCCGGCCCCTTAACTTCATAAATGACCTCTGTCAATATCGAGCGCATGAGGCATTCATACCTTATACAGCTGAGCACAAGTGAACGCCTTATTAGTACGACGGGAGGTATTTTACACCAATAGATGCTAGACTATAGCAGCACTAGCATCGTTCCTTATTGATCCTACATTTTTAGATAGTTTCCATAAATAATAGTGCGTTTTTTGGCTGCAGAACGCCATGACCCACATCAGCAATGAAATAGTCTTCTGCCATACTACGCTAAGCCTAATCCACTTAGTAAGCGGAGTTGTACACATGGCTTCACCTCACACACATATCTTGCTCAATAGACTGGTTACCACTCAATAACCTATCACCACCACGCATGCGCGAGCGAATGAAAATTAATGCATGGAACCAGTCTAGCTCCCACGGCTTCTCACCTATTTGTGAAGTTACTGTTGCTGGTGCTCTCTTCGAATGACATCGGTGAGCGGATTCCCTTGGAGATGTCAAGCGGCACCCGCAAGTAGACGATACGGTTTGCATAGTGTATCGCCTGACTGTAGACGGTCGACTCTTCATTCTGTATGCACTCCTGTTGCTCCTCCGGACTCAAGTGAGGCCACATGCGCATCTATGCAGTGAGAAATACGTTGTAGGCACTACCTGGTGACACACGAATCTACATGGTGACAAACATGTTACTGGTGTCACCTGCTGACATCGGTATCTACATGGTGACAAACATGTTACTGGTGTCACCTGCTGACATCGGTATCTACATGGTGACAAACATGTTACTGGTGTCACCTACTGACATCGGTACCTACATGGTGACAAACATGTAGCTAGTGCCTTTCTCATTAGCTACTTCCTAATAAGTGTGTTAGCTACTTCCTAATATATGGAATGGCACAAACGGGTATGGATGGCTGATGGCATAAGCAGTTTTTTTTTGGGGGGGGTCTATTTTTTGTGGCAGGATCAAAGTAAATGGGGAGCTATGCATTGCGGGATGTCAAATCATGAGTATCAACCAGGAGATTGCACGAACGAGGTTTTAAATCTCGGGAAGCAGCAGCTCATGGGGTAGTAAAGTACATATGAGCAATGGGGCCAGTCGACTCGTCCTTTTTCCTTTATAAGGGCAATGATTATATCAGGGCACCCCATCATCAATCAGGCCCATGGGCTCTGGTGAAGGCACACGGATACCGCCACCTGTAAACTTTAGAGAAATAAAAAATAAAGCATAATGAATCTAAATAACCCTGAAATAAGTGTCAATCATCATGTAGTCATCCACGAAACTCTCGCTACCTAACCCCCCCACACCCCCACCCCACCCCACCACACTATGTACGTTGACTAGCAGCTGCACCCCCTCCCTCACCATCACCCCACTAAAAGTCAGAACATTTTTCACTCCCATGGATTAGCTCAGGTCACGGATCTGTGAATATTTAACAGATCGGACTTACCTGCTCGGCTGCAATCTCTAAGGCTTTTTTCTGTGGCGGTCGCATTAGGACAGATCGCCTGTTCTCGGCCGTGATGCCAGTCCGGAAGGCATCAGCACCCCAGTTGCTGCCCAGTGGTGATTGCTTCTGCAATTCAATACAGCTATCAGCCGTCTGGCACTGTCACTTCTACTGAATGACACTGCAGTATCACAGCTATCAGCCGTCTGGCACTGTCACTTCTACTGAATGACACTGAAGTATCACTGCCATCATTGCATTGTGTTCACTCAGTGTAGCAAGGGCATGTTAGTGTTCACTCAGTGTAGCAAGGGCATGTTAGTGTTCACTCAGTATAACAATTATTAAATTTTGCCAATTTTTAATGTCGATTTGTTTTTTAAACTAACATTACATGTGAAACAAATACATTCGAGTCTGAGCACTCTGACCATATATATTGTTTTGTTCGATCACCATAAAGTCATATAAAACACAAAAATCGTTATTTTTGGTTTATCGAGGACAGCATCTTAGAAGTTGTTATTTTGGTATGTGTAACAGGGCTTTTAACAAGCAAAGTTGTTGGCATTGTCCCAACCCTCACTAGAGTGTAGCAATCAATACACAAAAATGCATCTATTGATGGTAAAAACACATTCTAGTGTAATTGCTAATGGTTGGGTAAATCAGTGAATGCATCGTCTATGATTTAAACACTAAGCGTGGCGGTTGCGTTACATGGCAATTGATGAAAACGTTTTTTTGTATATTATTTTACACAGTAGTCATCGTAGAGAAGCAATGTACACAGCACTCAGTCTGGCAATTTATAAGTATTCGTTTCACGTGTAATGTATCATGTAAAAAATAACACACAGTATACTAAACGTTATATCCATGATTATTCAATATTGCTGGTTAACAAACAATAGTGTTGGTATTAGAAGCGATAATTGCTAATTAAAGCACGCATGCACTCGTGCTAGAAGCATATATGCAACATCCTGTGCTGTTATAAGCTACAATGCCATCGTGGATAACTGTCATAACCCGCTACGAAGCGACAGCGAAATGATCATTAAAGCATCATGCGCTGATCTGCAGACCTAAAACCGTCCGGTAGTCGCATAGCCAGAAAACACAACATCTGCTGGCAAAGCAATCGAAACAAACAGCCAAGTTGCACCACCCCGTTGCATTTACTGCTGCTTGGCTGAAATGAAGCAACCTCTATCTATTAGATGCGTGAGGCGGCGGGAAGCCGCCGGCAAGGCATTTTGCAGAGCAGAGCGAAAAAACGTGACCGTAAATGAACAAAATGCTCACTCGTGTTGAAGTCTGGCATCCAGCATAGGTCTGCATGCCACGTCAAAGAAACAGACAAGAAAATCAACATCTCACGTCATTCGAAAAACGATAACATTAAATCATAGCCTCTAGCCGCGTTAGTAGTTGGTCTGCGCAATACATGCACACAAGAAGGCACAGGGCGCAAAATTAGCACCGGCCCACCGGCATATGCCGGCAAATTATTTGGAGGGCCAGTAACATTGGCAAAACACCGGCCCTCCGAGCCGGTGGTTTCAGTCATGTTAGCGAGTACCTACATTTTTATTTATAGCATTAATGAGCAAATAGCCTATATTATTTATAGCCTATTACTGTTTTACCTGAAGGATATCACGCCATAATTATCACCATTTTACAAATTTGAAATCGAGAACGCAAGCGTGAAACATAACATTGACAAAAACACATTGGACATCATTCACGATCTGCATTATAAGTCTGTTCAACAGCTACTATGCGATGCCGCACACTACAACATTTTTCGGACAAGCAAGAGTGAGATAATTAGAATAATCTCTATTATTCACTCCTGATATAATCATAGTATCTCGTATCGTCCAATTAGCAAACGCTTGCATGATACAAGTCTTATAACCTGTCAGTCAAGATGGAACTCCATTTCAATGACTCTCTATAGGACTGTAGGACCAAAGACAATAATAAGCTATCTATCAGAACTTTCTAAGAACACGGCCTGTTTTGCAAGACTCCATTTTTTCCAGGACCAGTATGAACCCTGAACGTGCACACGTTCTAAACCGTGTGAAGAAGAATTGCACACTAACCCGGTTTGGGTCCCAGCTGCTCCCCGCTCTGCCTGCCGGCCCCTTAACTTCATAAATGACCTCTGTCAATATCGAGCGCATGAGGCATTCATACCTTATACAGCTGAGCACAAGTGAACGCCTTATTAGTACGACGGGAGGTATTTTACACCAATAGATGCTAGACTATAGCAGCACTAGCATCGTTCCTTATTGATCCTACATTTTTAGATAGTTTCCATAAATAATAGTGCGTTTTTTGGCTGCAGAACGCCATGACCCACATCAGCAATGAAATAGTCTTCTGCCATACTACGCTAAGCCTAATCCACTTAGTAAGCGGAGTTGTACACATGGCTTCACCTCACACACATATCTTGCTCAATAGACTGGTTACCACTCAATAACCTATCACCACCACGCATGCGCGAGCGAATGAAAATTAATGCATGGAACCAGTCTAGCTCCCACGGCTTCTCACCTATTTGTGAAGTTACTGTTGCTGGTGCTCTCTTCGAATGACATCGGTGAGCGGATTCCCTTGGAGATGTCAAGCGGCACCCGCAAGTAGACGATACGGTTTGCATAGTGTATCGCCTGACTGTAGACGGTCGACTCTTCATTCTGTATGCACTCCTGTTGCTCCTCCGGACTCAAGTGAGGCCACATGCGCATCTATGCAGTGAGAAATACGTTGTAGGCACTACCTGGTGACACACGAATCTACATGGTGACAAACATGTTACTGGTGTCACCTGCTGACATCGGTACCTGTGACAAACATGTTACTGGTGTCACCTGCTGACATCGGTACGCTACAGTGATGACATTACACACATACAGTGGTCGCATGAGACATGCATACAATAAAGATGTGACACACACCATGATAATGTGTCACACACGGTGATGACATCACACACTATGATGACTGCGCAGTACTACATGATGGACATGACCACCACCATTATTGACACTGGACACACAGTTAATTGACATTGGTACACGAGCTAATTGACATGGACACTAGTAATGACGTGACACACAGTATGGACATGTACACGAGTAATTGACATGAGTACACAGTAATTGACGTGAACACAGTAATGACTGGGTTACACAGTAATGACATCGCGATACACAGTAATGACATGGGTATCACAGTAATGACATGTACGACAGTAATGACATGGTACACAGTAATGACATGGCTCGGTACACAGTAATGACATGGTACACAGTAATGACATGGTACACAGTGATGACATGGTACACAGTAATGACATGGTACACAGTAATGACATGGTACACCAGTATATTGAATTGGTCTCACAGTGATGACATGGTACACAGTGATGACATGGTACACAGTAATGACATGGTACACAGTAATGACATGGTACACAGTGATGACATGGTACACAGTAATGACATGGTACACACAAGTAGATTGACATGCGTACACAGTAAATGACATGGTACACAGTGGATGACATGGTACCACAGTATAATGACATGTTACACAGTGATGATCATGTACGACAGGTGATGACAATGGTTACACAGTAATGACATGTGGTAACTAACCTGGTGGGACAGTGAAAAATGTATGTACTTAGGCCTGGTGTCTTACTTTGTATAAAGAGCTAATGGCATCAAATGTGGCGTACACGAGTTCAGATTGGGACATGTGGTACATCAGTAACAGGTCTTTAGACAGTCGTGACTACGTACTCCAGTTGATTGACTCTAGGTCACCTTATTCGAAAACCGCTCGGCTTATTCACTTGTTTTCTGCGCGCCGTGGCACGCGGCTTCTATAAAATATCGGAAGTCATGAGACCAATCC